ACATCTGTTGCTTTGATTAGGCATTGAGGAGAGGAGCTTCACTAACGTCTGTAGCTTGGATTAGCTGGAGGTTGGTTCCATGCAATTCCCCTCGTATAAGGAATAACATGTTTATTTAAACACATGGCAACATAATTATGACTAAAGGAATGTAAGGTGAGACTGTATACACGTAACAAACACATCAACTTACCGAACCAGAAAGTTTTTATAGCGTAAGGACATGAAACCGTCATTATTATCCTCAGAATGTACCAACAATAAGACATCATTCTAGGAAAACAGACCAAGTAGCTCCAGTATACATGAAGTTTCTGATTCTTTATCACAAGATTCCCAATAATTTCTAAGAGTAGGGGGCAACCTCTAGGCTACTATTTAAAGCAACATAGTAAACCTTGAAGGAATGAAATAATCAACATTTGTAAACCTGGAATTATCGTAAACTATAACTTGGACGAGAAGGAGCTTGAGGATTGTCGACATGTGCGTTCTAGCTATGCTACTAAGATTATGGTTTTTACTTCCACTACCGATATCTCTTTGCTCCCAAGAGCACCACCACCATTCTCCTGTTGATCGAAGAAAGTTGAGACGAGAGAAAATACATGAACATACTTAGAAAGACAATATCTTTTGACATGACTTCTAATACTGCCAAGTTCCAGTTCTAGTGTGGCAGCTTGGAGTAGGATTTAGAGGCAGATATACGTAAGTAAATTCCCTATGTGATTCGACCTAGATCATCCATTCAGCATACCCCAACTTGCCCCCAAATCACTTTCACCAAGAACAACCACCAAACGTACCCAGTTTGTCCATGATAGACAGATTCCCTATTACTTTACCTTTAACCCTTTGTATGTAGAAGTATACGCAGAGCGGACAACAGAGAAGCGACGGCGGCAAGGTGATGGAGCACCCGACGGTTACACCTTGTTTCCTTGTTTCTGTTCGGATATAATAGATGGAGAAAGAGGAGAATGTTGCTGTTCTGAAGTTGCTGGTCTGAATCCGAATCCAGATCGGAGAAGGAGAAGAAGTGCTGAGCGTCTGTTTTAAGTAGTCTTAACAAAACTGCGTCGTTTGCTGTTTTATTGTTTTAGTCCTTGAGTTTTTGTCTTATGCCAGTAGGGTCATTTAGCCGTTGTGGCTGTTAGCAGAAGCAGGGTAATTGGTTCTACTTTTCTGGGATCGTGGGGATTGTTGAGACGAAGCCGAGGTTAATGGCTTCTGTTAGAGAGTCCTGTATTTATATTTCTTCTCCATCAATGAATAAGATGTCAGTTTGCAATACATCTCGTGATAACAAAGTGGTATCAGAGCGTGAGTGCGAGCTGTAACCAAAGTGAGTTGTGTGATCTGCGAGTGAAAAGAGAAGTTTTCGTGAGTGTCTGGGTTGGGAAACACGAGAGATCAAGTGCAGTGAGGAGATTCCTGGTGAGTGATTAATCATGAGTGAAAGCAGCTTTGCCCAGATGTGCATACCCAAATTTGATGGGGATTTCGATCACTGGAGCTTGCTGATGGAAAACCTGCTGCGATCCAAAGAGTATTGGGCAGTGGTTGATGAGGGAATAAGAGAGCCTGCACCGGGAGAGCAGTTGACTGAGGCTCAACAGAAGGGTCTGGATGAGAAGAGGCTGAAGGATCTCAAGGCAAAGAACTATTTGTTTAGTTCTATAGATAAAAGCATACTGAAGACTATCACCCAGAAGGCAACAGCCAAGGAGCTGTGGGATTCTATGAAGACAAGGTACCAAGGCAGCGAGAGAGTGAAGAAGTCACAGCTACAGAACCTCAGAAGAAGTTTTGAGCTGCTGCAGATGAAGGAAGGAGAGTCTGTTGCAGACTATTTTGGCAGAGTGATGACAGTGGCTAATTCCATGAGGAATTGTGGAGAGCTGATGCCTGATGTGAAAATTGTGGAAAAGGTATTAAGAACTTTGACCACCAAATTCAATTACATAGTTTGTTCCATTGAAGAATCCAAGGATATAGATGAACTGAGTGTTGAAGCCCTGCAAAGCTCTTTGCTTGTTCACGAGCAAAAGTTTGCTAAGCCCACATCTGAGGAAGAACAGGCCTTGAAAGTGACATTTGAGTATGGTGGAAGAGGTGGAAGAGGATCAGGAAGAGGAATGTACCAGGTTAGAGGAAGAGGCAGAGGAAGAGGATTGAATCGTGACTTGGTAGAGTGTTTTAAGTGTCATAAACTGGGCCATTTCAAGGCAGAATGCCCTGAGTGGTATGGCAATCAGCAAGCATACTATGCCAATCACTCTGAAAGATCTAAGAACACCTACCCTGATATGACTGAAGATGTGTTACTGATGGCTTTTGTTGAGCAAAAGCAAGAGAAGAAGGAGGAGATGACTGCACAGAACTCCATGGCACTGCTGGACACACAGGTCTCTGAGCATAGGGACACCTGGTGGTTCCTGGATTCTGGCTGCAGCAATCATATGAGTGGAGAAAAGCAGTGGTTCACCTCAATGGAAGACAGCAATGATTGCAATGTGAAGCTGGGGAATGGGACCAAGTTGGCAGTTGCTGCAAAAGGCACAATAAGACTGGTGGTAGATGGAGTCTCACTATCCATCAGTGATGTATTCTATGTGCCAGGGCTCACAACTAATTTACTGAGTGTTGGCCAGTTGCAAGAAAAGCAGCTAAGTTTTGTGTTCCAAGGAGGAGTCTGCAGGATTTATCAAGAAGAAAAGGGTTTCCTTCTGCAAACATCAATGAAAACCAACAGAATGTTTATTCTGCACTCTCAAAAGCAGGCAAACAATTCAAATGGGGATCATTTATGTCTGTATCAGAAGGAAGCAAGCAAGACACTGAATCTCTGGCATAGGAGATTTGGCCATCTGAGTTGTCAGAGTCTATTGCAGATGCAGAAGAAGGGTGCTGTGCAAGGACTACCTCAAATACAAGGTGATCTGGGAATCTGCTCCACTTGTCAGATTGGTAAACAACACAGAGGCAGCTTTCCAAAGCAAAGCTCTTGGAGAGCTTACAAGAAACTTCAGTTAATCCATGCTGACCTGTGTGGACCAATCACCCCAGTCTCGAATGGAGGCAAGAGGTACATTCTGACAATCACTGATGATTTCAGTAGGAAGTTATGGGTGTATTTCTTAGAAGCAAAATCAGAAACCTTGAATTGTTTCAAGAAATACAAGGCTCAAGTGGAGAATGAGACAGGAGAATCAATTGTATGCCTTAGAACTGACAGAGGAGGAGAGTTTCTTCTGAATGAGTTCAAGGAACTATGTGAAACAACTGGGATAAGAAGGCAATTGACTGCTGCATTGACTCCCCAGCAGAATGGGGTGGCTGAACGAAGAAACAGAACCATTATGAACATGGTTAGGTGTTCACTGGCTGACACCAAAGTTCCTGCTGTGTTCTGGCCAGAAGCAGTGGCCTGGACCTGCCATGTGTTGAACAGAAGTCCAACCTCAGCCAATGAAGGGAAGACACCTCAAGAACTCTGGACAGGTAAACCTCCATCTGTTGGCCACTTTAAAATCTTTGGATGTGTGGCATATATGCATATAAATGATCATCTAAGGAAGAAGCTCGATGCCAAAAGTAAACAGTGCTACTTCCTAGGCCTATCTACTGAGTCTAAGGCATATAAGTTGTATAATCCTGTCACCAAGAAGGTCCTGATCAGCAGAGATGTGGTCTTTGATCAGACCAAGGGTTGGACATGGGAATCAGAACCAGAACCAGTGGAAACCAGGTTGATGTGGGATGGCAGTGATGAACCATGGTATGAATCAGAAGATGAGGAAGAGTCTGTTACTCCAGCTGCAGCAGAACCAGCAACTCCCTCAGCAACTCCAGTCACACCAGCAACTCCCTCAGCAACTCCTTCAGCACATCAGAATGAAGGGGAGGAAGATGATGATGATGAACCTAATTCTGATGTGCTGGGGCTTCCCAGTGGAGGGGGATTAGGCCCCAGAGTCAGGCATCCACCTAGTCATTTGTCCATATATGATTGCACTTATTTTGCAGGATTGGAGGACTTTGAAGGATTGGAGTGCCTTGTGACAGTCAGTGATGATCCCACTAGTTTTGAGGAAGCTGTGCAGGATGAGAAGTGGAGAAATGCTATGAAGCAGGAGATGAGCAGCATTGAGAAGAATGACACGTGGGTGCTGGTGGAATTGCCTGCAGGAGTGATTCCAATTGGGGTCAAATGGATATTCAAAACTAAGCTGAAGGAGGATGGATCTGTGGATAAGTTCAAGGCAAGGTTAGTGGCAAAAGGGTATGCTCAGAAGCATGGCATAGATTATACAGAAGTGTTTGCTCCTGTTGCTAGATGGGATACCATCAGAGCTCTTCTTGCATTGGCTGCATACCATGGATTCCCAGTCTATCAACTCGATGTAAAAAGTGCATTTCTGCATGGTGAGCTGACAGAAGAAGTTTACATTATGCAGCCCCAAGGTTTTGAAGTAGCAGGGGAGGAGCAGAAGGTTTACAGGTTAAAAAAGGCCCTTTATGGATTGAAACAGGCTCCAAGAGCCTGGTACAGCAGGATAGAAGCTTACTTTCTCAAGTCTGGATTTGAGAGAAGTGATTATGAACATACCTTGTTCATAAAGAAGTCAGAAAATGACATCTTACTGGTGAGTCTCTATGTGTATGACCTTATGTATGCAAGCAGCAGTTCTAAGCTCATAGATGAATTCAAAAAATCCATGCAATCAGAGTTCGAGATGACTGATCTAGGAAGAATGAAATACTTCCTTGGAGTTGAGGTGCATCAGAGTGAAGCAGGGATCTTTATCAACCAGCAGAAGTATGTGACAGAAGTTCTGGATAAGTTTGGACTCTCAAGCTGCAATTTTGTGAAAAATCCCATGGCTCCTGGAGCTAAGCTATCCAAAGCAGGAGATGGAATATCAGTGGATGCTACAGAGTACAAAAGGTTAATTGGAAGCTTACTCTATGTATGTGCCACCAGACCTGATATCATGTATGCTGTATGCTTGTTGAGCAGGTTCATGGAAGCTCCAACCAGGCAACATATGTTTGCAGCAAAGAGAGTTCTGAGGTACTTGAAGGGAACCAGTACTCATGGGGTCTGGTACAAGAGGAAGGATGAAAATAACAAGCTCATTGGGTACACTGACAGTGATTATGCAGGTGACTTGGATGATCGCAAGTCTACCAGTGGTTATGTGTTTTTTGTAGCAGGAGGAGCTATTTCTTGGGCCTCCAAGAAGCAGCCTGTCGTCACCCTATCAACAACAGAGGCTGAGTTTGTGGCTGGATCTTACTGTGCTGCACAGTGTGTATGGTTGAGGAAGATTCTTGAGCAGATGGGATGGAAAAGTTCTGTGTCTGCTGCCACAAAAATTCTGTGTGACAGCAGCTCGGCTATCAAATTATCCAAGAATCCTGTCCTACATGGCAGGAGTAAGCACATTGATGTGCGTTTCCACTTTCTGAGGGAACTGGCTAAGGAAGAAGTGATTGAAATGGAGCATTGCAGAAGCCACGAGCAAGTAGCTGATATTATGACTAAAGCACTCCATCTGGACACATTTCAGACACTAAGGCATCAGCTGGGAATGTGTGCAGAAGGGGATTTCAAGCAGAGGTGAAGCATCACAAAGGTGAGGTGAACTGAAGTCAACAGAAGTTGCAGAAGGAGACTTCAGTTCAGGGGAGGATGATGTTGCTGTTCTGAAGTTGCTGGTCTGAATCCGAATCCAGATCGGAGAAGGAGAAGAAGTGCTGAGCGTCTGTTTTAAGTAGTCTTAACAAAACTGCGTCGTTTGCTGTTTTATTGTTTTAGTCCTTGAGTTTTTGTCTTATGCCAGTAGGTTCATTTAGCCGTTGTGGCTGTTAGCAGAAGCAGGGTAATTGGTTCTACTTTTCTGGGATCGTGGGGATTGGATTGTTGAGACGAAGCCGAGGTTAATGGCTTCTGTTAGAGAGTCCTGTATTTATATTTCTTCTCCATCAATGAATAAGATGTCAGTTTGCAATACATCTCGTGATAACAGAGAAGAGATCGCAACAGACAGAGAGGTGGAGTCAGCTACTCCTGTTTGGGTTCTGCATTTGGCGGATGCTGATCGAATTGGGGGGAGGCAAAGAAAAGCTTCTTAGATGGTGAAGATAGGCTGGAGATTGCTCGGGGGAAGACACCGAGGCAATTCGAAACGCCGAAGAGGAGAAACTGATGGAGATTGCTTAGCAATCGAGTCGAGCAACGAGGGAGGTCTCGTTCATCCCTCATGGAAGATTGAGCTCTCTTTTCCTCTAACATGTGTATTCATTTTTCTATGTTTACGCTTCGATATTTTTGTTTTTAGGTCGAGCTTTTTGATTGTTAGAGCAAGGTGGAATTTGGGATACCGTCAGAAACCAGAGAGGTCTTTCTTCCTGTGAAGTTTTTCTGCAGCTGTGGCGTGTCGGAGGGGTTCTTCTTGGGGTAAATACGTTTTAGGTGTATCAAAATTTTACAGTATTATAATATTAGGGATATTTAAATGTATAATAGTTGACCTAGGTCCTAGGGTAAAGTTTTTTTTAGGAGTGAGCGGAACGTATATAAATTTAAGGCGCGTAAATAGAAACTTTAATTACAAATTAATAATGCATTTAATTAATATTTATAATGACCGTCAGATTAGATCAACAGTGTGAGGAGGCTGGAGTATAGTATACGTCTGGAGCACAACAGTCTGACCCATATATATATATATATATTTTTTTTGGGCATGATACTATAGCCTAACCTTTAATGAGTGAACCCTAGGTCCTAATTATCTAAATCATAAACTATAAACCCTAAGATGGTGCATTGATTTTTTTGTATATATTTGCACGAATTATAACCGTAGATTATTTTTTTTAATTAAATCGATCTTGGAGTATAAGATTTTGAGAATTAAGACTTAGATTTTAATCTTTAAGGGTTAGAGTATAGTATCATGTCCGAAAGATCAGTCAATTTAAGTTCTGGATAGAGTTTTCTTACTCAAGGTATGTGGTATTACGGATTGCACCCTAGGTACCGAGAATTCCCCATATATATATATATGGCAAAGGCTAGCATACGCCCGGGCGTACGTTAGACTACCGTAAGCCCGTTTGAGTTTTGCTATTTAGATCATGAATTAACAGGAGTTTTGGGCATGATACTATACCCTAACCACTAATGGATAAACCCTAGTCCCTAGTTTCCTAACCCAAATCATGAGATTCGTTTAATCTTAAAATGAAAATCAATAATAATTTCGACGAATCAGAACCGTTGATCTTCATTTCAAGATTAAATGAATATTATGCTTTGGGTTAGTGAATTGCAGACTAGGGTTCACCCATTGGGGGTTAGGGTATAATATCATGCCCCAAACTCCGGTTAGTTCATTGTCTAAATAGAAAAACTCAACGGGCGTACGGTAGGCTAGGGTACGTCCGGACGTACGCTAGCCTGAACCATATATATATGGTGCCTTCTACAGTACCCCGGGTGAAATCTAGGGTACCGCATACCTTGAGTATGAAAACGCTATCTAGACCTCGAATTAGCAGGAGTTTTGGGCATGATACTATACCCTAATCCTTATTGAGTGAATCCTAGGTCCTAATTATCTAAATCATAAACTATAAACCCTAAGATGGTGCATTCATTTTTTTCCTATATGTGGACAAATCATAACCGTCGATTATTGTTTCTAATTAAATTGATCTTGGGGTATAAGATTTAGAGAAATAAGACGTAGATATTGATCTTCAAGGGTTAAAGTATAATATCATGTCTGAAAGATCAGTCAATTCAAGGTCTGGATAGCGTTTTCATACTCAAGGTATGTGGTACCCCGGATTTCACCCTGGGTACCGTAGAACTCGCCATATATGACTGGTGTACGTCAGGTGATCTAGCCGTTAGATGTAGTTAGATGAGCTCCGGCCGATCTCAACGGTCAACTTTTATTTTTCATTAAATCAAACTTCGGGTTAGGGTTTAGAAAATCGGTGCCTGGGGTTTATCCATTAGACGTTAGGGTATAGTATCATACCCCAAACTCGATTTAATTCATGGTCTAGATAGAGATATCTCACTAGTAGTACCTGACGTATAGTATACGCCTGACGTACACCTATCTGACCCATATATATATATGGATTCGACTCGTATGGTCCAGACGCATAACATGCTCAAGATCTTTGCACCGTTGATCTAATCTAATGGTCATTATAAATTTTTTTAAAATTAATAATTATAATTACCACTTGCACCCCTTAAATAATTATGCGTGCTATGAAGTCCCCCAACAAATATTACCGTTATGTTTTCTCGTATGATACCGTATTTTGTAAACTTCTTTAATTCAACACCCAAAACTCTATAATTTATAAAAAAAGAGGTACATTAAAATTTGCTCCAATTAATAGATAGTCATCATCCCACAGTCCAATTGAACCTCCATCGTCATCATCTGTTCACCATAACTTCCACAATAGCTAACCGCGCATCATCATCAAAACCTAAACCCTCAAGGCAATCTAAATTTAATCCGTAAAATTCATGTTTTAGGTTTTCTGATTATGCAGAGTTGTGCTTGCTCCCCTCGTCCAACCCAAGACTTGAGCTCATCATCGGCTGTAGACCGGTCATCAACTCCAGCGCATCTTCGTCCCTGTTTCCGACCTACAGCGACTTCAGCTCACCATCTACTTTTAAGATGGCAGTGGACGGCTACCCTTTAGCTAAGAATTGTAATCAGTTGACGGTGAAGTCCTATGGAAATTACTTGTGTGGAAATAATGAATATCGTCGTTTTCAAGATGCAGCAATCGGTGATGGTCGTCGTCGACAAACTCTTCCACAACAAGGTCTATAATCGATACGTCAATCGGACCTCCAAGTTCATGGGTGACGACGAGATCGGGTAATTGCAGTTGCCCCCCTTCTCGCAGCGGAATTGTCGTGGCCGCCGGCCGGAGCTTAAAAACGAAACAGAGAAACGGCAGAGGGAGATGTGGGGAAGAAGAAGAAGAGTCAATTGATTCTCCACCATCTCCGAGAACCCAATACTTACCGCCGGCGGCTTCTCAGCCTTCCAGGAACATAGAAGCTCTATCAAGCTGCTCACCAGCCCCTTCCACCTTCGCAGTAATGCTCGACATTAGAGACCAGTTCAATTGATTCTCAATAGCATAGACCCGGACACAATTTCGGCTGCGGAGGGTAAAATGACACTCAGGGAGCTTTGAAAATGACAAAATCATTACCGATTAAGTCACCCATGGCTACCAATTTGACTTCTCATGTGAGGCCGCCGTCTCCGCACCGCCCATCTCCATCAATTTCGTCTTGGCCGTCCGCCCTTCCCGACTTGTGGCCGCGTCTCCGCACCGCCATCTCCATCGATTTCGTCTAGGCCGTCAACCCTTCCCCATGTGTGGCCGCGTCTCCGCACCGCCGTCTCCATCGATTTCGTCGTTGTCGTCAACCCCTCCCCCAGCTCTCCAGCCCTTTCCCCAGCTTCCCCATGCGTGGTCGCGTCTCCACACCGCCATCTCCGTCAATGGCAGGGATGAGAATGATAATGAGAAAGAAATCGATGAGTGGTCGTGTCCCCAGCTTCCCCATGCGATGAGAATGAGAAAGAATAGAATTATAGATGATGGGTGAAGTCTGGGGAATTTTGATGGTGTTCAAGGAGGAGAGGAAAGGGATCGTCAAATGAAATTGGGGTTGGATAAATAACAGGGAAAGAAACACAAAAGTGAAAGGTGTTCTATGTGTGTAATGCGAAAGATAATATAAAAAGATATATAAATTTTGGGTGTTTAAAACATGATTGGAAGATATTAGGTATGGTATTATAAAAAGATATGAAAATTACTTATGAGGATTAAATAGCACGTCTGTAAATATAAAGGGCCCAATTAGTCATATTTAAATCATAATTAATAAATCAGTTAATTATTATTAATATTAGCCGTTAGATTAGATCAACGGTGTAAGAAGACTAGAACATGCTATGCGTCTGGACCATACGAGTGTAACCCATATATATATATATATATATATATATATATATATATATATATATATATATATATATATATATATATATATATATAGGTGACTACTTCAGTGCACTCAATATTTTGGGTGTATTCAATGCACACAACTCTAACAGTGATCATAATACATAAAATTTTGAACTTTAATTGGTAGCATTAGTCTAATATGATAATATAACATAAAATCACAACTAATCAATCCATTATCCTAACCCGTCAACCTTCAATTTTGAATCCCAACCCAAAACCCCATATTGTAAACCCTAATCCTAAATCATTCAAATTAAAGTAAAATATTGAATGATTTTTGTACAAATCCATGTGTTTCTTGTTCATCATACCATAAGTGACGATTGACATATATGGGCAGTTCTAGGGTGTCCAAGGCAAAATCCGGGGTACGGGTAACCGGGGGCAAGGAAAATTACCAAAAGCATCACGAAGCGTTTAAGCTTTTTTCATTGGACTTCAACCTAACTGTACCCGGTTTAATTATATCGATTAAGAGGTTAAACCCTATGGATACGACCCGCCGCCCTAACCAATTTCCAGT